ACTCACAGAGATCCTCCTGCCTCTGCCTCCCGAGTGCTGGGATTAAAGGCGTGCGCCGCCGCTGCCGCCACCACCCGGCCCATATATGTACTATTACAATCCACAAATACATCTAGACATCTAATATAAAAGGCAAAACTTGTGATAGTATTTTCAAATTAAAGTTATAATATGTAATTCATGTTTCCAAAGCAGATACTACATTTAGCCTCCCATATTTTTTCATGGTTTATCCCATTTTCTGAGTCATATGTTGCAAGACATGGTGGATTAAATCATCAATTAATGACTCTTTCATGCCACATGTATGTAGTTTGTATTTTAAGCACTATGTCCAGTAATGGGTAGATAGGCTGCTTTGAATGGAAGGTCACTACTGTTAGGAACCTGATCAGGAATCCAGTCCTCCCTTTGCATCTGGCTTGGACTTTCCACCAATCGTCAGTTTTGTCTGGTTCGCTGAAAAGGTGTCTCTGAGGAATACTGACAGGAGATGCAGGAGTTCTTAATGTATCTACTCTGTCCATTCTGTTGTTCTAGGCTTGCCTCTAGGAGCAGTCTCTATTCAAGTGGACTACAGATTTTTGCCTCAAAATAATAGTGAGAAGGTTAGCAATTTCTAATGAATGATATTATTTGCATTTCTTCTCCATAGAAAGTAAATTTTGCCAGGCTCACATTCCCTTAAAATGGTTGCCATTAGTTGTACTGGATAAAATTCCTACTAAATGCTCTCCTGTTTACAGGTGCACTGCCCTCCACTGACAGCATCTCATAGGAGATTGACCTCAAGACAGCAGACGCTTCCTCATGGAATGGTGGTAGACAGTGCTGGGCAGCACAGGGGGTGATCCTGGCAGTTAGTTCTCCATTGGGGACCTGCAACATTTCTCTCACAGAAGTGTGTTTCCATCTTCACTGTGCTCAGGGCTCTTTCCATTCTCCACAGTGACCATTTTCCCCTCCTCTTGGTGATCATATAAATAAGAAGAGTCATATCAGAAGTTTTTTCCCCTTCCTTGTAAAGGTAGAAACATACTCCACTAGCAACAAAGTTTTCAACACAGTTCAATTGCTTCTCTCTTGAGAAATTACTGGGTGTTCTAGTCACCAGTTTTCTTCAGTTAGCTGGTGACCTCGAGATGTGTTGTCCTAGTTGCTAATTAACTCTGCCCTTTATTTAAGGACAGGGTTCCATGTAGTCACTCTTTACAGAGTATATATTTCTGCTGTACCACAGGTCTTGTGACAATAGCTACTCCCTCCTCCCAATGCTGACACAAGACTCAGGGGATTGGAGCTGGATCTGACCTGAAGGTCTCCTGCCTAAGGGTGAGTTTGCTCAGTGCTGGAAGGTGCTTTGCAAGCTCCAAGGGAGAGAAGCAACAAATAGTCCTGCTTAGATGTTATGCCCGTGAACCACAACAATGACCAGTGTGGCATGATATCTCTAAAGGTGCCACAGCGCCTCTCACACCTTTGCATTAGCAGCAGCTGTCAAAGGGACTTAGAGGGGACAGGAGACCTACAGAATGCTTGGAGCTGCCTCTGATGACTTGTTAGGTCTTAAATCATAGAGGAGAACATACTAATGCCACTAAACCATCATGATCCATAACTGCACTCCAAGCACTTCTCCTTAGACCTACACTGAGTGTAGCTGTCACTGCTCCTCAAAGGCGCTTCTTTCTGCAGCACAAGGAGCAATACAGAAGACTAAAACTTACAAAGTGCAGAGAACTATTGTCTTGTGGTGTCCTGACCCAAAAGATTCACTATAGCACAATTCCTGCACACAAGGCTCTGGGAATATCTCTGCAGAGGGTATATATTGATTATGAGAGCCAGAGGTCCAGGAAGTCTGCTGTGAGGTTGTGCCTTCTAGAATATGAAGGGAAGCTGCACCCATGATGCCCCAACAACATGGCTGCCTGAACAAGCCCTGAACAATGCCAGTTTCACTGCAGGGGGCAATCTGCTGGGTAAACAAAGAAGTATAGCACCTAAGAACTGCTAAGAGAGAGAGGGAGAATTAGTCTTCCCTAGGGACGAGCCCACTCACTGTTCATCCAGGAACAAATGATCAGTCCTCAAAACATACAGACAGGCCATACTGAACAGAATCAGCCATTCAGATTGATATAGGTATATGTAGATGTATTTATATATTTATGTGCTCTATGTGTGTGTGTGTGTGTGTGTGTGTGTGTGTGTGTGTGTGTGTGTAAAACAATAATAACTAGAGAAGAATACATCATATATTTAAGATTGACTGTAGGGGACATGAGAGAAGTTGTAATGAGGAGATAGAGGGGAAATGATGTACTTACAGTTTAATTCAATATTTTTTAAAGAAAATGAAGTCTTGTCCATTGGTGCGATATTGGTGATTTTCAGGCAGATAAAGCTAAATAACACATGATCTCATCAACATGTTAAATGTAAAAAATTGTGACTCACAGAAGTTCGAGATGTAATGGTTTTTTCCATTGACCAGTGACATCAGTGAACCAAGGCTTGGGGACTTCTTGAAAAAAATGGATGCTCTGGAACAGTGTGATAGGAGGAGAAGCCCCCAATACTGTTGCCCCCGGATACTGGATGTGTGTAAACATTATGTAGTGTACTTTTCAGAAGCCTGGAAGATAGTGTTTAAGGAGCTGACCATACCATAACTGAGAAAGACAATCCAAACCTTACCTGTGAAATTATTACAAAATAAGACATTCATACACATATTGCTAATAATCTTAATGCATTAATTAAAAAGGTAAAATAATGTATGACTATTCTCATAGGTCATTCTGTGACTCTACTCAATAAGATATGAAAAATAATTATTAATTTTGAAAATTTGAAATAAGGAAATAGCATCAGCTACAGCACACTGATACACAGGTATATATGTGCAAGACATGCTTTAGGAATATCATTAACGTGTCAGGTAATGCCTGTCAGAGAAAAGGTAGAAAAGGAAAGTGACTGAAAGACCGAGCGATGTCTACTCTATTTTAAATTCTCACTTGTTACTCCTTTTCTTGCAGTTTTTAGAAAATATGTTCAAGCCGGGTGGTGGTGCACACCTTTAATCCCAGCACTCGGGAGGCAGAGCCAGGTGGATCTCTGTAAGTTCAAGGGCAGCCTGGTCTACAAAGTGAAATCCAAGACAGGCACCAAAACTATGCAGAGAAACCCTGTCTCAAAAAACCAAAAAAAGAAGAAGGGAAAAAAAAGTTCAAATACTAAAATGATATTTAGCCTGTGGTTCTTCCTTTATTAGTTTACGTTTTGCTTGCTCAATCTCATGTCTCTTTGCTTCATTACTAAATAAACTCTGTAGACGTCCAGAAACCAGGACAACAGCCAGAGCCACTGCATCAAAATTTGTATTTTCATTGCATTTCACACTCATGATTTCACTTACTAAGTGTTGAAAAGTGTATTCTTCCTCACTATGACTTTCTTCTGTGAGAAATGTACGTATGTGTGGTGTATAGTAGCATGTGGCACTAAATGAATGTTCTTTTTTGGATGCATTCATTTTACATTTTATCTGTCTTAATTGGATCGTGTCCAACTGGCTTTCTAGGATCTTTTAACTTGTGTTTCTTTGAAGACGGGTACAGTGTGAGATCATGTGACCACTTCAGACTTGTCTGGGGAATAGTACTCACCTATGTAAGAAACATTTTTAGCTCTCTTTCACCCTGTGAAAAACCTAGATTTGTGTCCACAGGCACACGATGCCTGTGTTAGGGTTTCTAGTGCTGTGGTCAAGACCATGATGAAAGACATCTTGGAGAAGAAAGGGCTTATTTTAGACTACAACTTCAGGTCACAGTCCATCACTGAGGGAAGTCAAGGCAGGAACCTAAGGCAAGAAATGGAGCAGCGGATACAGAAGAACACTGCATACTGACTTCCCCAGAATGCTTTCCTATACCATATACAACTGCTTGCCCAGGGTGGGCACCACCTATAATGGGCTGTGCTCTGTCATTTCAATCACTAATTAAGAAAATGCCACCTAGGCTTGGCTACAGGACAGTCTTAAAGAGGCATTTTCTCTACTACGTTTCTCTCTTCTCAAATGATGCTAGCTAGTGTCAAGTTGACAGGAAAACTATCCCCACGAATCTTGGTATTTATATTATAATTAATAGTTTTAATTAAACTAAAGTGTGATATCATTCATTGGTTTTTATTGCAGGAAATGCTGTCATTCTGGGATGTGGCCATTGATTTCTCTCCAGAAGAGTGGGAATGCCTGGAGCCTGCTCAGTGGAATTTGTACAGGGATGTGATGTTGGAGAATTACAGCAACCTTGTGTTCCTTGGTAAGGATCTCATCCATAGTGAATTCTTATTTCGACATCAACTGTAGCTTCCACACTTTGTATGGTATCTCAGAGGAGCATTTCATCAGCCATTTTCATATCCTTCATTTACCGAAAAATTAGAGAGGTTGCTCCATAGCTAAGAAACATTCCACTGTTTAAACTCTTAGTGTTGTGTATATATATTTCATTCAGTAGTCACTCCAGTGGAACTGTTAGCAATTCCAAGGCATGAGGCTGGAGCATACTTGTTAATTGAAGTGTTTCACAATTCAGTTTTAATGGGTTTTTTCTATAAATGAGACTCAGTATCTGGACATTGTACATTGCTTCATGTGCAGTAGTGGTCCTGTGAGAAAACATTTAAGGAACTGATTGTCTGCAGTCAATTATTCCACCATCTTTCCTTATAAACAGTGTACTGGGAGGGACACGTCAATTCCCAGCAGAAGAACACTTCAACCATCTTGTTCTCTCTCCCTACAAACAGGTCTTGCTGTCTCTAAGCCATGCCTGGTGACATTTCTGGAGCAAAGGCAAGGGCCTTGGGATGTGAAGATACAGGCCTCTGGCACCATGCACCCAGGTGGGTAGGGAAGAGGGGTTTATGCAGAATTGAGGTCTAAATCTCCAACAGAAAGGCAGGCTTTCACATGTGCATTGAAAACTGTTGATGTGGAGATAATTCTTTAGGTGAGCTGTGTATTTCCAAGGTTTTTCCTTTTTGTTGAGTCTACATTGTAATGTAAGAAATGCATGAAAGTCGGTACACTTTTCTACAAGCCTCTTCTTCACCCTCAGGGTGAAGCCATTGGAATACAGTAAGTTCACACATAAGTTTCTTTTGTATCACTTACACTCATGTTAATGAGTGTCATCCCATCAGAGTTCTTTGTGAATGATGAAAATTTTCTAAATTTTTTTCCTATTACATCCTCCAAAATAAGGATTTAAAATGCATGCCCTTTGTGGATATATTTCCAAAGATCAAAACTGTCTGCAACTAGGAGAATGTGTTTAATAGCTCATCAATAAGCTTTCAGAATTTTGTGGGTTGGAGGAGTTTTTTTACCTTGCAATTTGATATGGTGTATTGTTACTTAGATGTCTGCATTGCCTATAATCATTTGTTTTATGTACCCTATATATTTGGTGGGTGGATAAAACACATCAAGACAGTGAAGATAAAAATATCTAATAGCTCTGGTTTTGTGAATTTTCCTTTCACAGGGAAACATGAGTCTCCCTTTCGTTTTTTGGTTTTTTTGTTGTTGTTTTTGTTTTTTGTTTTTTTGTTTTTTTGGGTTTTTTTTTTTTTTTGGTGTTTTGTTTTGTTTTGTTTTGTTTTTCAAGACAGGGTTTCTCTGTGTAGCTTTGGAGCCTATCCTGGAACTCTCTGTGTAGCCCAGGCTGGCCTTGAACTCACAGAGATCTACCTGCTTCTGCCTCCATGTGCCACCACTGCCCGGCTGAGTCTCCCATTTTTATGCCGTGTTCATTGTCTCTCTCCATTCAGTGGTTATTTAATCTTGTAAATGAATAAATCTTAGAAATAGGTAAATTATCACCAGGCCTGCTACCCCATTACATTAGTCTCAGCACTTGGAGGCAGAGGTAGGTGCATCTCTGAGCTGGAGGCTAGCCTCATCCACATAGAAATTCCCAGGATAGCCAGGGCTACAGAGAGAAACCCTGTCTCAAAAAAAAAAAAAAAAAAAAAAAAAAAAAAAGAAACAAAGAAACAAAGAAAATTTTTTACGTGTTCATTGACAAAATCCTCAGCAAAATTTCTATTATTCACCAGTGAACCTTAATGTTTTGTTATGACTTGATATGTTTCAGGTATTCATTTTCTAGTTAACAATAATAAAACATAAAGTACTGTCCTGAATCCTTAGGCTATATTATTTAATATTGCTCTGGACAGTCTCCTTGTTATGCAATATATCTTTTGTGTCTTCTAAAACAAAACTCTATACTTAAAATAATAATTATATATATACATACATATATATGTATATTAAAAGGTTTATTTATTATGTATGCAGTGTTCTGTCTGCAGGCCTGAAGGGGGCGCCAGATCTCATTACAGATGGTTGTGAGCCACCATGTGGTTGCTGGGAATTGAACTCAGGACCTCGGGGAGAACAGCCAGTGCCCTTAAACACTAAGCCATTTCTCCAGCCCATAATTGTATATTTTGATGTTGGTCCAATCTCACATAATCACGATTAACTTTGTCTTTTAGGCTTGACTACTTTATAATCTCATTGATTTTTTTTTTATCCATTTTTCATCTATATTGTTCAATGGCTTATTTCTGTTAGTAAAATGTTTCTAATTTAAAGATAAGCCTTATTAGTATGAACCATATTTCCTAGTTTTTGTTCATATCTCAACTTTTGCTCAACAGGAAGAACACCCAGTGATTGTAACAATTACATCAAGGTCATTGATTGTAAATCACTTCTTATTCGCCAGAAAATTCATACAGGGGAGAAACCTTACAAGTGTGAGGAATGTGGTAAGGCCCTTAGTTCTCATAAAACACTTTCTATACACCAGAGACTTCATACTGGAGACAAACCCTACACGTGTAAAGAATGTCATAAGACCTTTAATACTCGTGCATCACTTTTTATACACCAGAAAAATCATACTGATGAGAAAACCAACAAGTGTGAAGAATGTGGCAAATCATTTCATTATTTTTCAATGCTGAAGCAACATCAAAGAATTCATTCTGGGGAGAAACCCTACAAGTGTGAAGAATGTGGAAAGGCACTTAGTTCTCAAAAAACCCTATCTATACACCAGAGACTTCATACTGGAAACAAACCCTATATGTGTACAGAATGTCATAAGACCTTTAATACTCGCTCATCACTTTTTATACACCAGAAAAATCATACGGATGAAAAACCCTACAAGTGTGAAGAATGTGGCAAATCCTTTTGCTATCCTTCATTCCTTAAGCAACATCAAAGAATTCATTGTGGAGAAAATCCCTACAAGTATGAAGAATGTAATGCACACCTTCAGGAATATCACACAATTCACACTGGAGAGAAACCATACAAGTGTGAAGAGTGTCACAAAGCCTTTCGTTATCACTCAGCTCTTAGGATACATAAGACAGTTCATAGTGGAGAGAAACCCTACAAGTGTGAAGAATGTGGCAAATGTTTTTCCTCATCTTCATGCCTTAGACGACATCAAACAATTCACTCTGAAGACAATCCCTACAAGTGTGAAGTGTGTGGCAGACGTTTTTGCTCATCTTCATCCCTTAGGAGACATCAAACGTTCCATTCTGAAGACAATCCCTATAAGTGTGTAGAATGTGGCAAAAGGTTTTCCTGTTCTGCAAGCCTTCAGGAACATCAAACAGTTCACACTGGAGAGAAACCACACAAGTGTGAAGAATGTCACAAAGCCTTTCGTTATCACTCAGCTCTTAGGAGACACAAGAGAGTTCACACTAGAGAGAAATCCTACCAGTGTGCAGAGTGTGGCAAATGTTTTTCCTCATCTTCATGCCTTGTACGACATCAAGCAATTCACACTGAAGACAATCCCTACAAATGTGCAGAGTGTGGCAAAGCCTTTGTTAATCTTTATAGCCTTACTCGACACATGATAGTTCATACTGGAGAGAAATCCTACAAATGGCTTAAAAAGTTTCCTTGTTCAAACCTTAAGACACATCAAGTGACTCATTCTGAATAAAACTCCCTGAGTGTGTGAAGTATGTTAAAAATCTTTGCTAATCATTCAGATCTTAATCCAACTCAAATGAATCCATAATGGAGGATTATTAATTATTAAAGACTTGATAATAATTATTATTTTGAATGTCAACAGGAACATCTAACTTCCAACAGCCCAAATGCTGAGAATGTCATCAGAGAAGAGTAGAGACTTCTCTTTGCTGTAACATCCAACAGTTTGTTCAAGCAGTGTGTTTGAAACTTGCCTTGATTAATGAGTCTCTTTCTTCTGTAACTATAAATGTTCCATGAAACCTTTACATGTCATAACATTGTCCATTGGGTGCCCTGAATGAGATCTGGGCTGTGGTATTTACTGTTATTTTTCCCTGTGGTGTTACCCAAGCTCCTGTCGTAACATCTCCCCTGAGTGTGTAAGAATCTCCATAAAATCATATTTCTCACCATGTTGGATTTTTCTGAAACGGTCTGCATTGGTAACAATCTGGGCTGAATGAGCATTAGTCTTTTTCTCCCCAGGAAATGCTAGCAGAACACATTTTCAGTTATATTTGGTTCCAGAATAAAGAATGTCTTATTTCCTTTCAGTTCAGAACAGTGTTTCTCATAAATCCAACTGTCATGTCATAGAAACTTGAATCCATATTGAAATAAGGACCCACGCCACATGCACTCACTCAGCAGAAAGGATGTATTTGATTAGTGGATATCTGATCTTCAATTATGAAACATTGTAGGTGCAGGTCTTACTTTACAGACCTGAAAAAGTCACCTCAATCTCAAGTTTATTAATTTACTGAAAATTGTTAATACATGGTAGTTAACCTAAACATTAACAATCACTGACTTATAAATGATTAAATGTCTCTACTGTGTCCAAAATTGTGTTTCTAGTCATGCTAAGTACAAATGAAATTTATTTACAGAGACAAGATAGGAAGGAGAATCCCATTATGTCTCTCATTCTATTGTCTTCTGTATATGCTATTGAAGTACATTCTAAAGCACATACCTCAAAACAAGTTTAAACGTAGTTTAATATGACATAAAATTAAAAACCAAGTGTAACTATATTTTTTAAAAAATCCTGGTTTGGGAAATAGAGTGCTAGTGCTAAGGTGTTAATTTTACAATCCTCTTAGATGACAGGACACCCCCAGGCTCAAGTAGCACTATTTCCCTTGGATGAGACACAGACCCTATCAGAGTAAATCGCGGGTTCATCATATGACACCAAAAGGATGTAAGGGGAAAGACTTGCTGGATGCCTGCTGCTCTTGTCTCCCCTGGCACATCTGCTCCAATGACCAGGCCCTGCTTAAGTAACTGGTTGTTAATCTTTGTCAAATGACAGATTGCCTCAGGAAAAGTGATTCCGAGAGCCTTCTTTAAAAAAAAAAAAAAAAAAAAAAAAAAAAAATCAAAGTTTTGAAAGTAACTAAAGAAGTGGGCCATGAAGTCACGAAGGCTGTGTCAGAATGTCCTGATTATACCGCATCTCCTTGGAGCCTCTACAGGCAAATAAATTTGTAATGTTGTCCATACACAAAAGACAATTTTTTTTTAATAAAGGAAAAGTAGAAACATAAACAAGAGTAGCCAGGCTTATTCGGGCAGAAACCAAGGCAGACCACAGGCATGAGGCAAAGGAATTTCAAGGACAAGGAATACCCTATCACAGTTAGAGAAAGCAGGCGCAGAGACCTTAGAATGGGAAAGTGTTTGGACCCTTTATAGCTTCTCTAACTGGAGAGCCACACAGCTCACCCTCTAGTATAGAAAGAGTGGTCCCACACCCCATAGCCACTGTGAATTGGGGCTTGGCCCCCCTGGCTGGTTAAGCGACTGGTTGCCTGGGGTTTCAGAAGGTTAAAGAAGTGCAGGATGGATGCTCCACCACTGCCAACATGGCAGCTTCTCCTCAGGAGCCTTCTGAAGGCACCACAGGTGGTCCTTTCTGACCTCCCTCACCTCAGGGTGTGAGCGCAGCAAAGCAGCCCATTTTCCAGTCTGTATCTTGCACTGGGTTGCTTTAAGGTAACTGGACACTTAATAAAGGTTCATCAAAGCCTCGTGACCTCACGAGGCGATGTATCTGAGATAACTAATTGCATCCTGACAACTATTAGAGTCTAAGCGGACATCGAGAATGGATTGCCTTTCCTAGTAAGAGATGAAAGTGAAACTCTCTGAGGCTGCCAGAGTAGAGGTTAAGGTGCATTAGTAACATTTGATTGTCAAATTTCAATAAGATTATTGGATACTTCTGATATCTTTGTATTTTAGAAATCAGCATTTCTGTGTCCTGATTTTGAGAAACAAAGGGAGGTTCAAGACTTCCAAAATACTGTTGCATAGGAAGAATTTCAGTATCAGAAGGCAAAGGGAATTGAACAAGACAGATCAAACAAGAAGGAATTCCAATAATGGATAATGGGCGCGTGGTCATTACACACAACTGTTTGAGACAGGCGCCGTATCCTTCCAGGTGGGATGGGAGCAGGGGACATAAGCATGAACTAATAGCAGTGTATATGTACCTGAGTTTGTGAAAAGCCAGGTTGATTTTGGTAAAATACTAGTAGTGTTCCCACTAAAGCTGAATTTCTTGTGTATTTTAACATCTGAAAGATTTACAAGGGACTTAAGGATTGGTGGGAAAATCCCGCGATGGATTATGGGAGTTTGTTGCAAATCAATGTTAGGGAGTTGGACTTTTGTTCAATTCTTTGTATGCCCTCTGTGTCCCCGACCAAACTAACTTCACTATACGGATTCCAAAGTTCACACAAAAACTCGGAGTCTCATCTATGTATGGCTCACAGAGAGGTTCAATAGAGAGGAACAAAGATTATTTATTTATAGTACTGTGTATTAAGACATAGTCTACATTAGAGTCAAGAGCTTTAACTTAGGCTAACTACGGGAGTAAAGACAACAGAGAAAAGGGTACAAATTCAAGAACGGGGCGGGAGGGGGGGTGGAAAGAAACGAAAACAAAAACAAAAGAAGCACACACTAGACTTCCGGTTAGATGCCTGCACAGAATTCTGGGATGTGTAGTTCATGCGATTGTGACATCACAAGGAGCCGTCCAGGAAATTCCAATTGAGCTTTCGTTTTTGTACAGGTGCGTCTTCCTCAAACTTGGGCGAGAGTCCTGCCCTGCTCTACATTCCTGTTGCGTCTCTGACACGGAGGTTGGTCTGGAGTGCAGCGCAGCCTGACGCACTGTGCGGGGGGCGGGCATCCGTCTTGGAGGGAGCGGACCTGGGCTGGGTGGGAGGGCGGAAGAAGCTGCCTTGGAGGTGCTGTGCTGAACTGGCTGGGTCACCTGTGAGGTTCCAGGTCAGGGCTGGGGAGAGGGTGATAGGGACTGTGCCCTGAGTGACGGTTTCCTTGGGACGCCGCTTGACAGCCAAGTCCGGCTTGGGCTTCCGGGACAGGAGAGCTGCCTGGTAGCGCGGAGTAGATGATAGTGCAAAGTCCAGGACTGCAAACTAATGATGGTCAGCTGACTGCCTGCTCTTGAGGTGGAGCTGGGAGCTCAGTGAGCACCTTTGGTGGGGAAGCATGCTTCTCTAGCTGAGCGGTTCTCAAGTGGACGCGGTCAGATTTCTCAGAATCTGTAGAGCAAACGGGGTCTGGTCCTTCCTGAACTCTGAAGACGGCCTAGTTTAACGGTCTTGAGGTCTTGATTGTGCTCATTTTATCTGCCAGTTAAAGAATTAAGAAAGGAAAAATGTGAGACGAGAAAAAGGTCTCAGGTGGGAAGTTCTCGAACCAGCCGACAGATCTGCCAGAATCAGCTGCAACAGAAAAGCTTTGACTGGGGGTGGGAGAACACACATTCACCCCCACACAGAGGGACCGTCTGCAGGAAGAAAAAACTGGAGAAGCTGACTCCAGGCCTCACCGCGAGGGCTGGGTTTTCTTAACCTTTGAAAGGTCTTCCATCCTTAATGTAGGATGGACCAACTGTAAAAAACGGCAGGCAGGATGTCTGCTTCACCCAAAATGGTTGTGTCAACATGTCTTGATCTGGCCTTGAGCTTGTTGAGCTAGTCAAGAAGCAGGGTCCCAAGGAATAGGTGAAAAGGTCTCATGACCTTGTGTTACAGTGACAGGCATTTGTGTCAGGTCAGGAGGGTGAGGAAGAACTCACAGACCTGTGTGATTTAAAGTAAACCGACCTGTGATAGAAAAGAAACTCCAGTCTACTCTATTGCACATCCCTGTCATCTCTGCATTTGTGAGGGGGAGGCAGGACCCTCTGGTCCTCCTCTGCTTCATAGCAAATTCAAGGCCAGAGTCTGTGTCATAAACATTTAGACAGATGTCATGGTCATGAGAAATACTTTCTGTGGTTCATTTCATGTTTCTTACAGTGAGCGCCATGACAAATCCATGCAATCAGCACATTGCTGACTTAAGAACTGCTTGTGGTTAACGTCTGTTGACACATTTTACATGTAATTTAAACTTTTGTCACTGAGTTGGGCTCCTTTAAGGAGTGACCCTTGCAGTGAGTTCTCCATTGGGGACCTGTTCTAGTTCTCTCAGAGAACAGGGTTTTCCATCTTCACTCTGTCTAGACTCTTGCCATTCTCCATGGTCATCAATTTCCCCTACTCTTGGAAATTCATAGTTAAAAAGAGTGGAATCTCTGTTTTCTGGGTTTTTTTTCTCACTTAGTTGTAAAGGTGAGAACATGGTCTACCTGCTACAAAGATGCTTTCAACACAGTTCAATTGCTTTTCCCTTGAGAAATTAAAGGGTGTTCTATTCACCAAATTTATCTGGTCTGCTTGTGATTTGAAGATGTATTGGCCTCCTCATTGCTGCTTAAGTCTGCCCTTTATTAAAAGACATTTTCAGTGTAATAATTCTTTACAGAGTAGATCTTTCCTCTGCACCAAAGTCTTGAGAGCATGCCCCACCCCCTCCTAGTGCTGAAAACACCATGCACTTCAGGCACAATGTTCTGAGTCTCGCCTAAGTCTCGCCTTAGTCTTCGACCTAAGGACAAGTTTTCATAGTACTAGAAGGTACTTTGCAAGCTTCCAAAGGAGAGAAGTGATAACCCAACAATAGGACTGCCTGAACAATGACAACATCAATATACATGGTACCCTGTAGATGGCAGTCTCATGTGACCCTGCACCAAAAGAAGTATGTGTACCAAAGAACTGCTGAGAGGGAGAATTAGTCTTCCCCAAGGATGAACCCACTCACTGTTCATCCAGTGTGAAGAGGTCAGTCCTCAAAACATACGTACAGGCAACCTGGACAGAATCAGCCTTTCATATTTATATAGTTATGTGTATGTATATACAAATATATTTAACCACAATAATTAAGAAGACGTCATACATTTGAGATGGACAAGAAAGGAATTGGAATGAGGAAGGGGGAAATGATATACTTTAATTGCACAAATTTTCAGAAAAACAAACCAGTCTAGTCAGTTGTGATAATATGGGTGAAACTGGAAATTATTTCAGGCAGAGAAAGCTAAGTACCACTTGATCACATTGATAGCATGTAACTCATAGAAGTTGGAGATAGAACAATTTTTCCCACAAGCCAGGGACATCAGGAAGCTGAGTCTTAGGGACTTACTAAATAGATGTTCTGGAACAGTGTGATAGGGCAATCTATGCTCACAGTACTGTTTCTCCTAATGCTGGATGTGTGTAAACATTATGTAAGGTACATTTCTGAAGCCTGATTTATAGTGTTAGAGTAGATGAGCATACAGAAACTGAGAAGGATGATCCAAGTTTACTCCTAAAATTATTACAAAATGCCCCATTAATACTTAAGTTGCTGATAATTTTCAGGTATTAATAAAAAGGAAACATAATGTAGGGCTGTTCCCATAGATCATTCTGGGACTTTACTTAATAAGGTATGAAAGACAGAAATCTGAAGTCAGAAAATTTTGAAATAAGATAATAGCATCAGCCAATATATTTCTCAGCTACAGCACACTGACAAACAGGTGTCATATATGGAAAACATTTTAGGAATATTACAAACACATCAGTACCCATCAGAGAAAAGACAGAAAGTGAAAAATGACTAAAGATCAGAGAGATGTCTGTTCTATTTTAAGTTCTCCAATAGTGTTCTTAGTCCTGTAGTTGATTTTTTTCCCCTATGTTCACATCTATTTTTTCTGTGAGTTCTTCCTGTATTATTCTGCATGTTGATGGTGAAATATGGATTTACTATAGATGCAGTGCTCATCCAGGAAATCAGGGTTGCTCTCCTTGTCTGCTCAATCTCATGTCTCTTGTCTCTGTCATTGGTGTCACTGCTGAACTCTGTACAAATTCAGAAACCCAGACTTCAGCCAGGGCTGTGGCTGCATCAGAGTCTGTATTTTCATTTCATTTCATATTTGTGATTGTGCATATTAAGTGTTGAGATTTCCTTCTCTCTCACCATTTTTTCTCCTCTAAGAAATAAGCGTATCACACTGTTACACATTATTCTGCTTTCCTATACCATATAGGACAACCTGCCCAGGGTGGACATCACCCATAATGGGCTGTGCTGTCTCATATCAATCACTAATTAAGAAAGTGCCACCTAGGCTTTGCTACAAGACAGTCTTAGGGAGGCCTTTTCATAATTATGTTTCTGTCATCTCAAATGACCCTAGCTGCAGAACTATCCAGCCCGATGCATCTTGGTATTTTTATTCTTATTGGTGGTTTTAATTAATTAAAAGTGTGATGTCATTCATTGATCTTTATTTCAGGAAATGCTGTCCTTCTGGGATGTGGCCATTGATTTCTCTCCAGAGGAGTGGGAATGCCTGGAACCTTCTCAGTGGAATTTGTACAGGGATGTGATGTTGGAGAATTACAGCCACCTTGATTTCCTGGGTGAGAATCTCATCCATAGTGAATTCTTATTTCACCATCAACATGTATCTTACTCGCTTTCTACAATATCTCATGGCAGCTTGTGCTTTTCAACAGTGAGTTTCATATTCTTCACCTTAACAAAAATTAGAGACATTGTTACATATCTAAGAAACATTTCAGTGATTTTTCTTTTTTATGTGTTTGTTTGAACTGTCATTGTTGGACATATGTTTCCTTCACTCTAGTGGGACTGTTAGAAATTCAATAGCATGAGGCATGGAGTAGACTTGTTAATTAAAGTGTTTTACAATTCAGTTTTAATGGTTTTTCCCTTTAAATGAGACTCAGAATCTGGATACTGTAAATTTCTCTACTATAGTAATACTGTCAGAAAACATTTAAAGACCTGCTTGTCTGCAATCATTTATTGTATTATCTCTTTCTTATAAACACTGTTCTAGAAAGGACATGCCAATTCCTAGTAGAAGAACACTTAAGCAATCTTGTTACCTTTTCTGACAAACAGGTCTTGCTGTCTCTAAGCCATTCCTGGTGACATTTCTGGAGCAAAGACACGGGCCTTCAGGTGTGAAGAGACAAGCAACAGCCACCGAGCATTCAGGTGTGTAGGAATGGGGTGGGGGGTTCAGAAACAGATTTGAGGTCCAAATATCCAACAAAGGCGGGCTTTCCCATCTGCACTGAAACATGATTATGAGATAATTCTTTAGGTCTCTCCTTGTTATTGTTGTCAAAGGACATCTCTCAGATGTTTATGATATTTAAGTCTCTTAAGCTCGGTAATTCCCCAGTGGTGAGTTGTTCGTGTATTTACAGTGACTTCCAAGGTTTATCTTTTTCTTGAGACTACATTGTAATGTAAGACTCAGGGAAATGTCACTCTATGCAGAAAAGTCATTTATTTGCTGGAGTTTAGTGTAGGCTCATGCTGGAAAGATTTCTACACTGAAGTGAGGCATGATTGGGTTTATAAATTCACACCTCCAATTCCATCACAGAGAGGCAGGCAGTGATAGAAGGTCAACAGTTTCAGTTCTGTTGATGAAAACGATTTTGGAGAGGGAAGCAGCTGGATAAAACTTAGACAAACCAGAGCCACTGTGGACAGTTCATTCCCCACTGGTCTTAGGGAAGAGTCAGTGCATTGACTTATTTTATAAGGGGTTGTATTAGCTACTAGGTCCACTAACTAAACAGAGGCTGTTTTATTTTTCAACACAGTTATACAACCAGGTAACCTATTAGACCTAGGAAGAGAAGGATGAGAGGTCCTGGGATGCCTGGGAGTAAGGTGTTCAGCCTCGGTCCCACCAAACCAGCTATGATAACAGGAGATGTGTGCCTCTCTTTCTCAGCAGTTAATAGGTTTAGGCCTTTTACAGAGTTGAAAGGCTCCATTTTTTCCTCAGTTAAATATATCATCTACAAGGAATAACTGTTCCTTGGATATACCCCTGCATAAGTCATTGAAGACATCAGATAAATCTATTTATAAACCTGGCATTTCCAGATATATGATGGCTACTGAAACGTTTTGTTTTAGAGTCTAGTCCTCGGTTGCTATTGTTGCTATCCCTGAAGAAAGCATTACGACTCATATTTCCAGGAGTCCAATGGGAGAAAAGGACCTCACAGTCCCTGCTTCTAAATGTCTCTTGTTGAATTATTTAAACTTTCTCGATGTGTGTACATTGTTCCTGGTTTGTAATGGGAGCAGGGCTGAGGAACATCCCAGGTGACTCAGAGGGGTTTGGATGAACTTTCACAGTCCATGTCTCCTCCTCCTCAGGTGCTTTTATTTGTCTTACCTGGCTGTGGTGGGTCCACACATCGCATAAGCAACTTAGCTTAGATGAGTGCCCTTGGTTCATCCTGCTGTGCTGACTGGCCCTGTGGCAGAGCATCTGTCATATATTATCTACCACTTTGCTGAGGACTCCTTACACAATCAGACATTGACATCTCAGCTCCGGGATTAGCTTTGTTAGGAGGAAGAATATTGAAAGCCAGGGGACAGGGCATGACCATTTGAACTAGCATTATAGTTCCCATACCATTTAGGTACCAGGTGTAGGTACAATGTTCCCCTGTACATAGGATACTCAACATCAGTTCATCATACATTGAGTGCAGAGTGATTGCAATAAGTGTCTCCATTGCTGAGACATTTAGGATGTGGGTGCAAAATCTAAGATCCTCTACAGCATGAGAGAATCCATTCCATCTTGTAGGACATGAGGAGTTATTCATCTTCCTTATAGATAATGAATAGGATTTCCTGGTCTGGTTTTCAGGCCAGAGGGAGACAGGAGCAGCAGATTCTGGCAAGTCCTATCCTCTATGCATCCTTATTCTGTGATGAGGCTAGCATGCCACTTACTCTTGTATGGTCTGTGTCCCATTGGATGGTAAGTATGCTATTTGATCCTTGATGTATCCTTTCATGCAAGTGTAGTATCAATTTAACACTTTTTATTTAAGCAGTCAATTTCAATAACCAGTTTTTTTAAGTATACTTCATATTTGAATATTATTCCCTATTAAGCAAAAAGTTAAAATTAAATTTGTTTTATGTTACCTGCTTTATGCTTAACTTAGATAACATGTACACTGGCCTGTATAATAGAAGATATAGATTGGTCTGTTCCTCCAATATTGTCTCTGCAAATGAATTATACTTGTATTTAACATGACTACAGACAGATATTTGGATACATTAAAGATATTTAATTACTCATTAGGTGACTCATCATTAGGTATTCTGTGTTAATTATCTTTGTAACAGTCTACAGTAAATTAGAGGCTCTAATTGGGATTTTATAATTGAAAGTAATTTATCTCTATTAAAAATTTGAATCCTCAAATTAGCATTTTTTTATCTGAAGATGCTTTATACAGAATTAAACTTTAAACATAAATACAGTCCATGGAAAAACTGGTAACCTCCCTGTCCTCATTTCTTTATGGTGGAACTTTACAAAATCTGAATTAATCCAACAGGTCTTCTACATTAAGGACCTTGTTTTATCACAAAGAATATAACCAGAGGAGAGAATAGAAGGGTTAACCTTTATATAAAGACACCTGTGAGAATAAAAAGGTGTACAATTAATTATCAACACAGTTGTCCTGACTCAGTTTCTCCAAATATTTAAAGTTTAACAAAGTTAGCAAAGACATAAGTGATTAGTCATTTTTTTAATTTAAGAAATTTTTTTATTCGTTTTACATACCAACCACAGATTCCCCCTCTCATCCCTCCTCCTGCCCCCCACCCCCAGTTTTCCCCGTCCCAACTCTCCCATCCCCTCCTCCAAAAGGGTAATGGCTCCCATAGAGAGTCAACAAAGCCTGGTACATTCAGTTGAGGAAAGACCAAGCCCCTGCCCCCTGCATCAAGGCTGAGCGAGTTGTCCCACCATAGGCAATGGTCTTCAGAAGCCAGCTCATGCACCAGGGATAGATCCTGTTCCCACTGCCAGAGGCCCCTCAAACAGACCAAGCTACGCAATTGTCTCTTGTATCAGGGGGCCCAGTCAGGTCTCAGGCAGGTTCTACAGCTGTCAGTCCAAAAGTTATGAGTTCCTATGAGCTTGGTTCATAGACCATTATGGTCTTCACACACACACACACACACACACACACACACACACACACACACACACTCTCTCTCTCTCATAGAATCCCTCTTTCCTCTCTTCAACTAGACTCCTGGAGCTTGGCCTGGTACTTGGCTGTGGATCTCTGCATCTGTTTCCATCAGTTACTAGATGAAGGCTCTACGATGATAGTTAGGGTAGTCACTGATCTGATTATTGGGTAGGCCCGTTCAGGCATCCTCTCTACTACTGCTAATAGTCTAAGCTGGGGTTGTCCTTGTGGATGCCTAGGACTTTCCCTAGCAGTATGTTTCTCCCTAACCCCATAATGTCTCCCTCTATTAAGATATCTTTTTCATTGTTCTCCTACTCCATCCCTCCCTCAGCTCAACCACCCCATTCCCTCATGTTCTCCTCCCCCATCCCCTTGCCTCTACTGCCTCTCTCTCCTTTACTCATAGAGATCTTATCTGTTTCCTCTTCCCAAAGTGACCTATGCATCCCTGATAGGGTCCTCCTTGTTACCTAGCTTCTCTGGAGCTGTGGATTGTAGGCTGGTTATCCTTTGTTTTACATCTAGTCTAGATAGTCATCTTTAAGTCAGTTTTTGTTAACATGAGTAGATTTTCATAACCTTAGGAACTTTTGACAGTTAAGTATATCATCTTTAAGTCTCATCTACCATAAGGCCTGTAAAATATAGTCAGACCTCCTATCACCTGAAGACTTTCTGGGTTTGGTCCCCTCTTTATTTATGTAACTTATCTAATCTAAAATAATTTAACCCCTTTTTAAAAGATTTATGTCTTTTATTTTAAATGGTTTCACTGATCTGGAGATAGAAAATTGATTTCTTAACAAGAGCTTTAACAAGATATCAATAGCCTTGGATGAGAGAAGATTTTTTTGCAAACAAGAACCAAGAGGGTAAGTATAGAACAGGAGTTCAAACTGCAGATTCGATTAAAGCACCTCACTCCCTTTGGCCCAGACATCTGATTCTTTACATATACCCCCTTGATTAAGCAATTTCAGATGAGACAAGATAATATTAACAAGTAAATTTATCATTTGATGTCACAGAATTTCCCAAAGCAGAGGTTGTTAGGTAATAGCTATTTTCATGTGACCCCTTAGCCAGTACAACAGGTTTCCCATCACTGAAGAGGTAGACACCTGCACCTGAGTTTTGATTTTTCTGGCCTGTATGCCCTAGTGTCTCCAGAAAACCCTGAGATCTCATGTAGTCAAAACCTCATTCCTTGCAACTATCTGGGAGGAGTGACTGGGTACTCACATGAGAATTCAGTGACCTTGACTCTAGCTCCTTTTTTGATTAATATTAACATTTGACAAGCCCAGCTGTGATTACTTTTATCAAGCACAGCTAGAGTTATGAAGATGGTCAGCTTAGAAGAGACTGTGCAACATCAGTTACATAAAAGAAAGTTGAATCCAAACTACACAGCGAGGGTAATGTGATTCATTCATATTACCTGTGCACATAATGTTAAACCATTGTGCCTTGAAAGTTTAGAGATAAACCTTACAGAAAACATGACAGTCTTTATGATTTAGATAGTATGTAAACTTATCATGATCATTATTAAGTAAACATTAAACATTAACAGAATTTAGCTGACTATGATTTTGAAGTTACTATTGATAAATTTTAGTGTCTTTTTTAATCCCTTTTAACGATGAGGATCCCATTAGTTGTTTTTATGATGTACATATTCCTACCATGAGGTATACTGAATAATAGCTTCTGCATGAAGTAGTTTGCTTCTTAGCTATTCTCAAGCACATAGCGTCTTATCTTAGGCTGTCTTATTGTTCTCCTTCTGCCTGTCAGAGAGTCAGGGAGCCAGCCTGACCCAGGACAGGGCATTGGAAGAAACTCTGAGACAAATATGCTCAGGTTTGAAGTGAGTGGGGCAAATCCTATCTCTAGAGCCAGGTTTTCAGTGAGCTAAAAACAGCATATGACTATTTAAAAAATATTATCTATACGAAAAAGGCATTTGTTTATAAGACTAAACCCAGTGACTTATGTATCCATAACTGGTTTGTGTCAGCAAATGTGGGCAGACAACCTGATCAGTTCTATATGTATTTCCCCTGTTATAAAGATATCAGGCTTTAGGATAATAGAATTCTATGAGACAGGGACATATTGGCTTCTTTGTGGATCAACCTCTAAGCTTAATACATAAGTACCTGTAGCCTAGAGTCACTTAAACAGAAAACCACAAAACTAGACATCTAAGGAACTCTGAAAGTTCTAGAAATGAAAGCAAGAGTATCCAGGCTTGGTGGAGCAGAAACAAGGGCTGACCTCAGCCACAGGGCAAAGGAGTCCCAAGAACAGACAGAATGTCACATGTCAGAGGAAGCAGACTTGCATATCCAGTCGAAAGGACCCAACATAACTCCTGTCTCCAGTCTCCTACTTCACAAGCAGTTCACTGAAGGAACTCTCCCACAGAAAAACTGGCTATAACTCCTTGTTCACAGTGAGCTAGAATCTTGGACCTACAAGCTGGCTAGGCCCCTGGAATAACTGGGAATCTGCTCGTGCCCACACTACAACTGCTAGTCTGGAGGCTCCTACTTCCCATTGTGTTCTGAGGCATAGGTTGTCCTGACTCTACTGAGACCTTATTGTGCATGGATGTGCCAGTGAGATTATATGGCTCAATCCCAGCAACCAAAGGAACCCTTTGGGTATATGGGGCTAGGAGTTTGCTGGGTTTGGAGTCTTGAAAAGACTATCAGGAGTGAGCTCACTGCTGGGGATGAGTAGATTGAAGAGGAAGAGACATGGAGTTTCCAAGAACCACTCATACAGACTCAGAAAGGAGGTTGGTACTGCTCATGGAGCAAGGATAGAGGAACCCCGCAGCTTCCAGACACATGGAATCCAGAGTGATCCCAGAGAGTGGCCTGATCTCTGTTCCATGATGAGGGGCAGGGAAAGGGACAAAAAGCAGGGCACAGAACAATAGAGAAGACAGCATAGATGGAGTAGATTATGCAGTCGTTCATTCAGCATCCAAAGAAATGATACAAGACAAGGATTTAACAGAAAATTTGTATCCATTACTTCTTCAGTCAATGTCTTGATTCTCAGAGGAAGTTTTCTGGGAGAAATATCCATCAGAATTCACCCCCATTACCAGAAACTAGACCAGACACAGAAATAAACAAAAGACAAGGATTTCATCCAAAGTCTCTGAGTAGGACTTCCACCACCAATGTTTTCACTCTTAGTGGGAAAGTCCAGGTAGGATCCCTCATCACAATTCATTCCCTTTACAGAGACGACACCAGACAACATATCTGCCCCTACCTCCTCAGAACACAGTATTTCTTTGTCAGGAAACATAGGGGTCACTCTGGGAATCTGGCTCTGGTGTGAGTGTTATGGTATCGTGGACCATCTCAGGGGACACCTTTCCTGTACCAATCCACCAAGCCTGGGAGACCCAGAGGGAGTCTGAGTCCCTTGATTGGCAGAAATCTTGCAGGTTCCTGCAAATGTTGCATCTACAGGGGACAGAGGGGAATACCACTCAATGCCTGACTAGACTCATGGATTTTCCGGCTGTGGAGAGCAGGTTCACACCAGAAAGAAGCCTTTTCCTGAAGTGAACCATGTTTGGCTTATAGAGCCAAACCCCAAATTACCTCATACCAGAGGCTAACCAGGAGCCTGAAATTTCAAAATTGTCAGTTTTATTGATTCAAACAATTTATGTTGTAAAACAGTGGATCTTCCAAAGCAGCAGGTGAGGCTACATGAGAACATTTTCTCAGTAGGATTGGTTAGTTAGCTGGGGGAGCAGTTGGATAAAACTCAGGCAAAATGGAGTCCCTTTGGGCAGTTCAGTAATAGACTTTGCACTGTTTGTTCACATCTGAGAGTTGCATAATTTCTAAAGACCTTGTGTGAAACCATTTTAAGACAGTAACTTCACACATAAGTTTCTTTCATATCGCATACATTCATATTAATGAAAGTCATCTCATCGGAGTTCTTTATGAATGATGAAACTATCTTCTCGTTTTTCTCCGATCACACACTCAGTAACAATGATCTAAAATGCATGTGCTTTGGGGACATGTAGTCAAATGTAACACTGTCTACACTAGGAGAATGTGTTTGATAGCTCATCAATAAGCTTTCAGGATTCTGCAGATTCAAGATTTTTTCTTTACTTTTCAGTTTGATGTTCTGTGTTACTATCTGGACAGGGCACAAGGCCTATAAGCATTTGTCTGCATGTAATCTATATATTTACATAGGTGGAATATCCCATTATAAAACACATCAGGGCGGTGTAAGGTAAAGAGATCTGTTAGGTTAGGTCTAATTCTGTGAACATGAGAACTGTGTGTTTCCACTTCCATGTAATCACAAGTCCTTATATGTCTGTGCCTGGCACATCGTCTCTCTCCTCTATTGCTCAGAGGTTATTTAATATTGTAAGTGAACTAGTCCTTAGAAATTAGGTTAATGTTATTATCTATTCATTGGCTGATAGGTTGTCTTCAGTGAAAGTTCTGTTATTTATAGCTGAACATGAAGGTTTTTCATAACTTCATAACCTTCAGGCATATATTTTCATGTCATCAAAATAAAATGTGAAATACCATCCTAAATCCTTGAGATAAGTTATTTAATAGTTGTGGACAGTCTACTTATTTTGAAGCATGTCTTTTTTGCCTTCAACTTTATACTTAAGACAAAAAAATCACAAAGTCACAATAAAATTACTCTTTTCCAAGGATGGCTACTTTATAATTTAATGTCTGTCTAGCCATATAACACCTGTATTATTTAACAGGCTTTCCTGTTATCAAAATGATCTTAAAAGTTTCCATAATTTTAGATGTCACTATTTATTTAGCTATTTAACTTTGAATACTATGACATTATCCATTTTCTCTATGTTCTCTTTGGCTGTGCTTTTATTCCAGTTTTTTCCACCTACTGTGTTTTCTAAATTATGCTCATTGCCTGTAGGAGTTGAAATGTATTGTAGTTTCTCATGTAAGGTTAAACATCTATGAGTAACCATCTCCATTTCAAAGGTAAACATTACATGTATGAAGAATGTTGCTAAGCTTTTGTTCCTATCTCAACTTTTGTTCAACAGGGACAACACCCAATGAATGTAATGATTACAGCAAGGTCTTTGGTGATAATTCATTCCTTATTCAACGCCAGAGAATTCACACAAGGGAGAAACGCTTCAAATGTGAAGAATGTGGTAAGGCCTTTAGTTCTCGCTCAACACTTTCTGTACATCAGAGACTTCATACTGGAGAAAAACCCTACAAGTGTGAAGATTGTTGTAAGACCTTTAATACTCGATCTAAACTTTCTATACACCAGAGAATTCACACTGGAGAAAAACCTTACAAGTGTGAAGAATGTCATAAGGCCTTTAGTACTCGTTCAACACTTTCTGTACACCAGAAAAATCATACTGGAGAAAAACCCTATAAGTGTGAAGAATGTGGCAAATCATTTTACTATCCATCAATGCTGAAGCAACATCAAAGAATTCATTCTGCAGAAAAGCCCTATAAGTGTGAAGAATGTGGCAAAGCTTTTTATGATCCTTCATTCCTGAAGAAACATCGAAGAGTTCATTGTGCAGAGAAACCCTACAAGTGTGATAAATGTGGGAAATGTTTTTCCTATTCTTCAGACCTTAAAATACATCAAAGAATTCACTCTGAAGACAATCCCTACAAGTGTAGGGAATGTGGCAGAGTCTTTTCTAAGCTTTCTACCCTTGCTAAGCACGAGTTTGTTCATTCTAGAGAAAAATCGTACAAGTGTGAAGAGTGTGGGAATGCCTTTGCTTCTAAATTTTCCATGGTTCAGCACAAGTTATGTCATACTGGAGAGAAATCCTACCAATGTGAAGGATGTGGCCAAATTTTTTACTCTACTTCTGACCTAAAGAAACATAGATGACTTCACTGTCAAGAGAAACTGTACAAGTGTGAAGTCTGTGGAAAAGCCTTTTCTAGCAATTCTTCCCTGACTCAGCACAAAATAGTCCATACTGGAGAAAAACAACACAAATGTGATAAGTGTGGCAAAAAGTTTGCCTATCCTTCAAAACTGAAGAGGCATGAGAAAATTCATAGTGGAGAGAAACCCTACATATGTGTAGTGTGCGGCAAGATCTTTTGTACTCATGCAGAACTTTCTGTACACAAGCGATCTCATGCTGTGGAGAAACCACACAAATGTGAAGAGTGTGGGAAAACCTTTTGTATGCTCTCATCCCTTCCTCTGCACAAATTGCATCATACAGGCAAGAAATCTTACAAGTGTGAAGAATGTGAAAAAATGTTTTACTCTACTTTAGACCTTAAAAAACACCTTATAATTCATACTGGAGAAAAACCATACGAGTGTGAAGAATGTCACAAAGCCTTTTGTAATCAATCAGCCCTTAATAGACACAAGGCGGTTCATACAGGAGAGAAACTCTACAAGTGTGACGAGTGTGACAAAGTCTTTACCTATTCTTCAGACCTTAAAAGGCATCAAAATATTCACTCTGAAAACAACCCACACAAGTGTGGGGAATGTGGCAAAGCCTTTGTTAATCTTTATAGCCTTACTCGACACAAGATATTTCATACTGGAGAGAAATCCTACAAATGTAAAAAGTTTACATATCTTTAGCACTTAAAAGACATCAAATAATTCATTCTGAATACAAATTCTGTGAGTGTGTGGAGTATGGCAAAATCTTTGGTAATCATCAGAACTTGTCCAACCCAAATGAATCCATAGTGGAGAATATTATTGCCTTAATTATTTTAGAATCTCAACAGGAACATCTGACTTCCACCAGCACAAATGCTAAGAATGTCACCAAAGAACAGTAGAGACTTCTCTTTGTTGTAACCTCCCTACCAGTTTCTTCAAGCAGTGTGTTTGAAACTTGCCTTGACTTATGACTTTTTCTTCTATAACTATAATTGTTCCATAAAACTTACCATGTCAAAACTTTGTTGAGTACCCTGAATCTGAGATCTGAGCTGTGGTACAGCTGTTTTTCCCAGAGGGGTCACCCATGCTCTTGTAATAACATCTCCCCTGAGTGTGTAAGAAGCTCCATAAACTCATATTTCTCACCATGTTGGACTTTGGTGAAATGGTTGCATTAGTAACAATCTGGGCTGAATGACATTAGTCATTTTCTCCCCAGGAAATGCTAACAAAACACATTATCATATTTGATTCCAGAATAAAGAATCTCATTTATTTTAAGTTCAGAACAGCATTTCTCATATAATTCTAAATGTCATGTCATAGAAATTGCCATGACATTGAAACAAGAACCTGTGTCAGTTGCACTCACTCAGCAGAAAGGATGTATTTGATTAGTGGATATACGATCATCAACTATGAAACATTGTAGGTGCAGATCTTACTTTACTATTGATACAGATCCAGAAAAGCCATCTCAATCTCAAGTTTACTGATTTACTGTAAACTGTTAATACAAGGTAATTGAAGTCTCAACATTAACAATCACTGATTTATATAAATGATTAAGTGTCTCTAATGTGCCTAGAATTTTGTTTCTAGTCATGTTAAGTCCAAATGAAATTTATTCACAGAGACAAGATGGGAAGGAAAATCCAATTATATCTCTCATTCTTTAGTCCCCTGTATATTCTGTTGAAGCACATCCTAAAGCACACATCTCAAATCATGTTTAAATTTAGTTTGTTTAATAGGGCATAATATTCACAATCATATATGTATGATTTTGAAAAATGAATACTTGAATTAAAAAGGGGTTCAATTTGCAATACCCTTGCCTGGCCAGACATCCCAGGCTCAAGTAGCACCATTTTCATTGGATGGGACACAGACCCTATCAGAGTAAATGGCATGCTAGCCACATTAGAGGATAAGGATGCATGGGTAAATAAAGCCTGTTGGAAGTCTGTTACTCCAGCCTCCCTCTGGCATATCAAGAAAACCACCTTAACTATAAGGAAGGTGAGTTTCTCCTCATGTCTCACGTGAGAGTGGGATGAATTTAGTTGCCAAGTGGAGGAGTCTGTACCCACACCCTAAATTTCTCAAGTCTTATAGAGGCAAATAGGAATTACTCTGCCTTCAGTGTCTCTGTGACTTATGAGGATGCTGTCAATAGGGGATCTTTGCATCTAAATTGCCAGGCAAATGGTATGGAATTTACACCATAGTTCAATTAACTGTGACTTTACCCTGACTTTACAATGTTCTCCCCCTAGCAAAGCCAGTTCCAGGATGGCAGGTCAGTGCCTAATGCTGTAAGGAGTCCCAAGAAAAGCTTTAAGTACCATAAGACAGAGTCAGCCAAGAGGCCAGTCAGTACAGCAGGCTCAACTGTGGGCATTCATTTAAACAGCAAGTTGCAGGTGCCATCCTGTGGATCCACCAGGAACAGCTAAGGAAAGAACGCTGCTGAAGGAGAACAAAACCTGGACTGTAAAGGCCCAGCCAGACCAGCCTCTCTGAATCACCTCCCAGAGATGATGGCGCACCTGCCCTTCATCCCTGCTTCTTTTTGCAAGCCTGGAGGCCAGAGGTCCACAAGGAAGATGCTTGAGGTGTTCAACAGGGGTCACTAGAGATAGGGGTCATTATACTCCTTCCCTTTGGACTGAGTGGACATAGTAGCTAAATACATCCACGTTCTTACCTTTACGCACACAGATTCAGATACTTCTCAACACCCATCAGAAAGCATGAATTATGTGGTAGATAGAGAATAATACACAGGCTCATAATTGTTCATAATGTAGAGAATCATAGCCTGTGGAGGGCACTGATCTAAACTGGACACCTATGTAGTCAGACTTTCATCAAGACCATTGACTCCCCAACAATGACACAGAACTTATTATTAATCATGAAAACTCCACTGATAGCTTAGGCTTGTTTCTAACTAGCTCTTATAGCTTAACTCAGTTATATTAATTTACTTTCTACCTCGTGGTTTATTACCTCATCTCCATAGTGCCCATCCTGCTTGCTCTGTATCCCCTAGTGCCAAAACTCAGTGATCCTTTAGAGAGAAGAGGTAAAAAGACTGTCAGAACTGTATGTAGTAGATGTGTACAGTGAAACAGTATTTGCTGGAAATGTCACGACCATTCCATGCATAATCACACTGTGGCTATTACTACTAGAACAACACCTGCCCAGGCTAAGACCAGCCATAAAACCATAGATTCTTCATGACCTCATTATGTCTCACCATGAGTGGAGGAGCTATTGGCAATTGATGGTTGCTGTGAGAGACAGTCAATCTGAGAGGCTTCCAGGTTCCAGCAAATCTATGTCTGCACACACGGTGGTGGTGGGGGCACTAAGATGCTCAGATGCTGAGAACTAAGGTGTTCTGCATCACTGTAACCTCAGGGAAGAGACAGGGATGACTTTGCAGAGATGAGATGCAGTTAGACTCACCTTGTATCTTCTACTTGGCTTTGTTATGAGCACGACAGAGGAACGATGAACAGTGGCCTCTCCACCCTCCCTTACCTCCCTCCTACATCCATAGTAATGACAGATGCTTTGGTTCCTGGTTATCCATCATTACTAACATTAGGAAAAGAATGTTGTTACATTCAAATGAACTTGGTGGACAAAATGTTGCAAGACAACATCGCACATACCTTCTATAGTTAATGTTTTTTGCATAAACAGTTTATTAACATGTAAATGTCATATACACATTGGGTATAACACAGAGAAATGAATAAACCTCTAGAGTAGATCACATAGAGAGGATCTAAACCTCAAGACTAAATCCTTGACAATAATGTAGAAAGGTTGCTGTGTGGAAATGTAGTTTTAACAAAGAAGAGCTCGGCAGTTGCCAACAAGGCACCCCAAACAGAGGTCAAGTCTTCTAGGTGTATGTATGTCAATGTTTTCCTCCTGCTTGGAGTCTCTGGAGACCTAGTTATAATTTATTCCTGGCACAAAAAGGGAGGTTGCCTTCCAAATGGAAATATCCTTTATGGATATTCATTTTTTCTATAAAGGAACATTTTTTTCAGAGCTGTACCCTGTGTAGAAAGCTTCTCAGGGAACCAGCTTTAGAAGTGAATAGTATAGCAGAAATACACATTTTCAAGAGAAAATAGTATAGACCACTCTCAGGTGGCTCTGCTCATCTCTCTTTTTTTAAAAAAAAAAATTTTAACTCTGTTATTTAAAATGTTGAAAAAAATCACAAGAATTAACATGACCTGAACACTACAGAACTCAGGAGCCTTTGTATAGTTAGAATAGACACTCCAGAAGCAGAGGATTTCACATTGGATTTAACACTGTGTGATGGAGCAGAGGAGTGTGCAGGCCCCTATTGAGTGAGGAAGCGAGTTATGGTGGGTGTTAGAAGTGGCTTGCGATTCAACTTGGGTTTTACTCTTGTTTTTTAATGTTTGTGCATGTGATTTTGCATTTTAATAAGCCTTAAAGAAATTTTGATCACTTTTCTAGGAGATATGTGTAATTATCTATAAATTTGTTCACATGTGTATGTATATTACTGAGTATGCATATGAAGAAAACATGTAGTTTTTTCAGATTGATTGACCTTAATATCATAATTCTACATCCATTCATTTTCCTAGAAATTTCATGGTTACATTTTTCCTTAGAGATAAATAACATATATATCTAGTATATATATTAAACATATACATTTATATATATGCGCTGATAAGAGTATGCTGATATGACCAAGAATGAAACCACAAGGAGATGGGCAGATGTCAAGGCAGAAGTACATACAACAAAATGAAGAGAAATACAGCATCACCAGAACCTAGCCCTCCTCTAACATCTAGACCTGAACATCAAAAAATGGAAGAAGCAGAAGAAAACAGTCTTATGAATAACATCATGAAGAAGGTAGAGGCTTATATAGAAGGAATCACAAATGAAATTGAGGAAAAGACAAACAAAAAATGGGAAGAACGCTATAAAAAACTAGAGGAAAGAAAAATAAAACAGAAGAAAACAATAGATCCCTGAAAGAAAATCATGAAAAAGCAATGAAACAGATGAAGGAAACAGTCCAAGACCTGAAAGGGGAAATAGAAAAAATGAAGAAGACACAAACAGAGGAAATGCTGGAAATAGAAAATCTGAGTAAACGAACGGGAACTTCAGATGCAAGTATAGCCAACAGAATGCAAGAGATGGAAGAGAGGATCTCTGGCATTGAAGATACGGTAGAAGAAATAGATTCATCAGTCAAAGAAAACACTAAAGCCAACAAAGTCATGACCCAAAATGTCCAATAAATTTGGGACACCATGAAAAGACCAAACCTATGAAGAATAGGGATAGAGGAAGGAGAAGAATATCAACTCAAAGGCACAGAAAATATACTAAACAAGATCATAGAAGAAAACTTTCCCAACTTAAAGAAGGAAATGCCTATGAGGATACAAGAAGCCTATAGAACACCAAACAGAATAGAACCCCTCCCCCAAAAGTCCCCTCGCCACATAATAATTAAACAATTAAATGTACAGAATAAAGAAAGAATATTAAGAGCAGCAAAGGAAAAAGGCCAAGTGACTTATAAAGGCAAACCCATCAGAATAACACCTGATTTCTCAATGGGGACTTTGAAAGCTGGAAGGACATGGACAGTTGTAATGCAGACACTAAGAGACCATGGATGCCAGCCTAGACTTATATACCCAGCAAAACTTTCAATCATCATAGATGGAGTGAACAAGACATTCCAAGACAAAGCCAGATTTAAACAATACTTATCCACAAACCCAGCCCTACAGAAAGCACTAGAAGGAAAATTCCAACCTAAGGAAGTTAGATACACCCATGAAACACAGGCAATAGATAAAGCCACAGCAGTAAACCCCCAAAAGAAGAAGTACACACACACTACCACCAAAAATAACAGGGATGAACAATCACTGGTCATTAATATCCCTTAATATCAACGGACTTAATTCACCTATAAAAAAACAACCCATCTTCCTGCTGCATATAAGAAACACACCTCAAATTCAAAGATAGACACTACCTAAGAATAAAAGGCTGGGAAAAGACTTTCCAATCAAATGGTCTTAAGAAATAAGCTGGTGTAGCCATCCTAATATCCAACAAAATAGACTTCAAACTAAAATCGATCAAAAGAGATCAAGAAGGGCATTACATACTCATCACAGGAAAGATCCACCAAGATGAAGTTTCAATTCTGAAAATTTATGCCCAAAACACAAGGGCA